GCAAAAAAAAGGTACTCGGTCGCGTACCGGCTGCTCCCAGTGGTGTGAATGTCAGTCGGAAAATGCGATGAAAGCCGCCCCATTGTGTGGGAGAGTGTAAACGCTTCGATTTTGCCTTGGGACTACAACACCCCCGTTCTATTGAGAGAGAGAGTGAAAGTAGCGAGAATATCTTCGTCGTTGCCAATTTTGGACCCTCCGAGTCGGGCGGTATCAACCACAACACCATCAACCACAGCAGCAGCAACAGCGGCAACAATACCACCCTCAGCCGCTCCCCTGCTACCGGCAAGACCCACACTCACCACGCTATCCGAGAGCCTGATGTGCAATTGTTCTAGTCGAAAGACAGATGATGAACTCTATCAGTCTTGTGAGAAACAGAATTATTTCCTATCAACAAATCCTGGAAAAAGCCAAACTGAAGTTTCCTGACACGCTTGCATGTAGTTATCACAGGCGGCATCAGTGTATTCAATTGGGATTGTGGGGGGTCAGTGCAAGATATTGTATCCCTCTGTCAGCAATTTCCCGTCGTTAGGGGTGGGGTCAGTGCTTTGATGGCGCTACATGTCCAATGTTGCCGAGTGTCTTCGCTGGCAAGCGTTGACCGAGCCATAACTGAAACTATGCACTTTCTTACCTCCCCGTCTGCAAACAGCAATCCCAAAGTATCAGTTTTCACTATGATCCTGCTGTCCCAAATATCCGTAAGCCAGCCCCTCCTTCAAATATCTTCCAATACACTAACTTGTCCCCGGTCTGGTGCAGATGAGAGCCGGATATACTTGGACCCACCAACTTCCTCGGATCCTATCCTTATTACTGGCACTTCCAGACAATGTGTCTGCTGCAGTGGAAACAGACGCCTGCTCCCAGCTTAACCTACTTGAAATTCTAGGCCGCTTAGACATGGACGTGTGGATTGTGGGGCGGCGATCAGAGGCTGTTCATATCTGGGCTACTTATTGTTCCGGAAGGGAAGGAATAGAAAAAACCACCGGCCTGCCGCGGCCGCTTCTGGATCTGATAGCTCGTTTGTCTAGGAATGAGGATGTAGCAGATGAACTCCAGGAGCTCTTGTTGGGATTACCCCCCGAGAGTGATGACTATGCCAGTAATGTTCATCGATGCTTTATCCTCACAGCACTGCTCCAGCTACATAGCCGTGTCCGCCCTATGCCCGGTGTAGACCTGCTGATCAAAAATCTGTTGGACATGGTGCGTCGTCTTCACGCTGCAACTGACGCACGCCATCAACGAGTTCTGATATGGCCGGCATATGTGGTCGCTGCTACGTGGAGAGAGGTCAAAGGATAGAGCCTTGTCGAAAATACTCTATACAAGTCAGAATCCCTGGATCCGCCC